TCCCAAGGCACTGGGATTACAGGTGTGAGCCACCTTGCCTGGCTAAAATATAATATTTTTATTGTGAATTATTCTATGGTATTTTGGTGTTGGTTATATTCTTATATTTTATTTATATAACTTTTGTTTGTTAATCTGACATCTGGTCATGTTGCTGAACTCCATAGTTTTAATACATTGTCAACTGTTTCTCTTTGTAAGATGAATATATGTGAAACCAAGGAGGCTTTGGGGTAGCAAGGAGCTCTCCTAAAAACACTAGGTTTTTTAGGCCAGGTGCAGTGGCTCACACCTGTAATCCCAACATTTTGGGAGGCCAAGGCGGGTGGATCACAACGTCATGAGTTCAAGACCATCCTGGCCAATATGGTGAAACCTCGACTCTACAAAAAAAAAAAAAAATTAGCTGGGCATGGTGGCAGGCACCTGTAGTCCCAGCTACTCGGGAGGCTGAGGCAGGAGAATTACTGGAACCCAGGAGGCGGAGGTTGCAGCGAGCCGAGATCACGGCATTGCAATCCAGCCTGGGCAACAAGAGCGAAACTCCACCTCAATATATATACAAACACACATATATATACATACACACACATATGTATATATTAGTTTTAATAGCAAACATTTCTGACTTGTTCCTATCAAAAATAGGCATGTTTCAAATATCTTCCCACAAAGCATGACTTTATCTCAAAAGCTGAAAGTGAAAAATAGAAATTTTTTTTTTTTTTTTTTTTGAGACGGAGTCTCACTCTGTCACACAGGCTGGAGTGCAATGGCGTGATCTCAGGTCACTGCAACCTCCGCCTCCCAGGTTCAAACGATTCTCCTGCCTCAGCCTCCTGAGGAGCTGGGATTACAGGCATGTGCCACCGCGCCCAGCTAATTTTTGTATTTTTAGGAGAGACGGGGTTTCAACATTTTGGCCAGGCTGGTTTCGAACTCCTGACCTTGTGATCCACCCGCCTCGGCCTCCCAAAGTGCTGGGATTACGGGCGTGGGCCACCGCGCCCAGCCGGAGAAAATATTTTAAATGCAGATGACAAAGAATAAAGAGCTATTATCCATAACACAGAGAGGCTCTCTACCATCAATAAGAAATATATACATGATCTACCTTTTTTTAAATGGGCAAAGGATATAAACAATTTACAAAACCAATTCAAAATGGTCAAAAAGCAATAAAACAGTCCCGTCTATTTGGAAGGCTGAAGTGGGAGGATCATTTGAGCCCAGGAGTTGGAAACTAGCCTGGGTAACAAAGCATGGAGACCAATCTCTTTTAAAAAATAAAATTAGAAAAAAAAAAAAAAAAAAAAAAGGCAGTAAGAAAAGCTTAACTTCACTATTAATGACATGCAAATTAAAACAATTAAATACTATTTTTCATCTATCAAACCTGGTAAGTGAATAAAAAATTCATAGCATATACTAAATATTGCCAAAGTTGTAGGAACAGGGAACATTCACACACAGTTCTGAGTGAGCATGGGAGTTACTAAAAACTTTTGCAATTCATTTTCACAGAATCTATTAAAATTTTAAATGCACATATCTGGCCAGGCATGGTGGCTCAATCTTGTAATCCTAGCACTCTGGAAGTCTGAGGCCAGTGGATAGCTTCAGCCTAAGAATTAGAGGCCAGCCTGGGCAACGTGGCAAAACCCCATCTCTACAAAAAAAAAAAAAAAAACTACAAAATTAGCCAGGCATAGTTACCCACATCTGTAGTCCCAGCTACTTGGGAGGCTAAGGTGGGAGGATTCCTTGAGGCCAGAAGGCTGAGGCTACAATGAGCCCTGATCACACCACTGCACTCCAGCCAGGGCTACAGAGCAAAACCCTATCTTTAAAATAAATAAATAAATAATAGGGCTGAGCACGGTGGCTCACACCTGTAATCCCAGCACTTCAGGAGGCTGAGGAGGGTGGATCCCCTCAGGTCAGGAGTTTGAGTCCAGCCTGACCAACATGGTGAAACTCCATCTCTACTAAAAAACACAAAAAATTAGCCAGGCATAGTAGCGGGTGCCTGTAATCCCAGCCACTCAGGAGGCTGAAGCAGGAGAATTGCTTGAACCTGGGAGGCAGAGGTTGCAGTGAGCCGAGATTGTGCCATTGCTCTCTAGCCCGGGTGAGGAGCAAAACTCCGTCTCAAAAAAAATAAAAAACAAAAATAAATTTTTAAAAAAGCACATATTGGTCAGCCGTGGTGGATCACACCTGTAATCCCAGCACTTTGGGAGGCCGAGGCAGGTGGATCACCTGAGGTCAGGAGTTCGAGACCAGCCTGATCAACATGGAGAAACCCCATCTCTACTAAAAACACAAAATTAGCCGGGCATGGTGGTGCATGCCTATAATCCCAGCTCCTCAGGAGGCTGAGGCAGAATTACTTGAACCCAGGAGGCAGAGGTTGTGGTGAGCCGAGATTGTGCCACTGCACTCCAACCTGGGCAACAAGAGCGAAACTCTGTCTCAAAAAAAAAAAAAAAAAGAAAAAAAAAAAAGCACATATCCTATCTACAAATCCTTATAAATGCAAAAAGGTAACTATTTAAGGATGTTCATTATTGCATCTTTATAAAGCGAAAAACTCTGAAACTTAAATGTTCATCAAGAGGAGGCTAGACAAAGCACACACATAAACTAGAACACTGTGTAACAATTTTTAAAACCTTAGCTGACTTAGATGTCTAAAATACACTGTATGGTGCATTATAGGTGCTCAATAAATACTGGATGAAAAGATTTTTGTATGAAAGCAGAGAAAGGCCTAGAAGCATATATAACAAACTGGAGAGAATGACTCCCTTCAGGAACATAGGATAAGTAGAGGGAGACTAACCATTTTTGTGTCTTTTATACTTTTCCATTGTCGATTTGTAAAATAAGTAGGAGCTGGCAGGGCGAGGTGGCTCATGCCTGTAATCCCAGCACTTTGGGAGGCCGAGGCTGGCAGATCATTTGAGGTTGGAGTTCGAGACCATCCTGGCTAACACGGTGAAACCCTGTCTCTGCTAAAAATACAAAACATTAGCCGAGTGTGGTGGCACACGCATATAATCTCAGCTACTAGGGAGGCTGAGGCAGGAGAAACGCTTGAACCCGGGAGGCAGAGGTTGCAGTGAGCCAAGATCACACCACTGCACTCCAGCCTGGGCTACAGAGCGAGACTCTGTCTCAAAAAATACTAATAATTTAAAAAATAAGTAGGAGCTATTTTTTTTTTTTTTTTTTTTTTTTTGAGACAGAGTCTGGCTCTG